TGTGACCCAGATATTTTTTTTTACTCCGTGGACTTTTACAAATAAAATACATACATACAAAACATCCTTGCGTATATATCAATACAAAAATAATTATGTGTATTTCATTAACCCATGTTTTATTCTCGGAGGTTTATTTCATTGTGATGTCACAACTATACGTCATTCACAACAAACATCAAACACGGTAAATATGTTTCATTAAGTATTTAACAGACAAATGGCTTCTACTGTGATAATTATGTGAAATTAAATTAATTGTCTAATATAAAAAAAATAGTTTGGTGCTGTCAGGCTCAGAGTCTGAGAGGCTTTTCATTTATCAAATTTTTTTTGTCTCTTATTTAGTGGAAATATTGATGTTGATGAGATTTTCTCCAAAATTAAAACCTTTTTCAACCTTAAAGCTCCACTGCTGAAAATGAGACTCTAACATTCACAAATGAAATAAAATCCAGTCCAACATCTGGTTTGAGGTGATTCCTCTGGAACCTGTTGGAGGAAAAATGTCCCAACTTCAGAAGATGAGCTTTTAACTTAACAGAGCTCTGTGGTTCCTCCTATCAGTATGAGAGTCAGGATGAGGAGGCGCCATGTTAGGAAGAGAAGTGGAAGCTGCAGGATCTTTAGAACAAACAAGTCATGATGCTAGGTCTACTGATTATCCCTCTGTCTGGACACAGGATCAATAGAACCAGTTTGAAAGATAAAATTAATGGTTATATGCCAGACATGGAAAACTGGGATGGACTCCATGCCATGATGTTCAGGATTTAGGTCTCATGGCATCTCAAGGTGTCAACATTGCTGCCAGTGGGTTGAGAGAAATACAGCTCCATTTTGTAGCAATTCAAGAGCTACCAGCTTTTATCACTTTGCAAAAAATTAATGAGCACAGAAACGTTTTGTCATAGTTCCCCCAAGAATTTAAAACTACTTTCACCCTTGCATAAATATGAGTAAAAAAAACATTCATTCATTCATCCATTCATTTTCTTCTTCTTCTCCCGGATCGGGTTGTGGGGCAGCTGCCCAGATTCCCTCTGCTATATTAACAGTTTGGTCAGTTTGTCTCTATTTAGTCAAATCACAGACTGTTAAATTGAATATTAGAACATTTTAATGTGTATTTTTTGCCATATTGGAAATATGCAAAGTTCACTGAACAATCTGTCTGTCGCAAAAAAAGAGAATAAAATCAGTTTTCAAAAGTATCCCGGCCAGCATGCCTAGGTGGGCCCCATGTGGGGGAAAGGTGGGCTGATATATGGGTCCCATATGGATTTGTCCATTTAGGGCCCATGTGGGCTGTGGCCCTACATGGACAAACCCATGTGGGACCCATATATCAGCCCTCCTTTCCCCCACATGGGGCCCACCTAGGCATGCTGGCAGGGATATTGAAATAATTTTTGTTTCACTGAACATGTGATAACATAGAATTTTCTGTATCAACAAGTCAAACAAATATCTCCAACAATGACTTAGGAAAGCAAAAATATCTTTACTGTACATTTAAAATAATTTGTTTTGTTGTAGTTGTAATTTTTAGTAGCTCAAACCCTTAAACAGTGACCAGTCCCTCCATTTTGGATGTCGAAGTTACGACACAGAGGCAAACTGTCCCAATTCTCACATTTTTGCTGCTTGTAAACCTGCGGACTTCACAGAGGGCCTCAGTGTCCACTGAGCTTTGGGACCGGCGCCCCCAGAGGTCAGGCTGAGCACTGCACTGCCTCACTCCGTAAAATTCAGCAATTTTAACCATAGAAATGTTGAAATTACCAATACATTTTTCTAGAAATGCCAAGTGAAAACAATGATTTTCTCTCTTCGTTGTTTGCATGACTTTTACTTCTCATGCACCTAATATAGTTCAGGACTGCAGGTGAGGGAATACCTCCCTGCCCACACGTTCTGCACGATGGTTCTGTGGCGCAACTGCACATTCTTCAGGTGGATGCGAAAACATAAATCCCCCCCGAGGCGAGGATACGTTAAGGATGAAACTCGCGCTAGATTTACCTCATTATGTGCGTGAGGTGAAGGAGCGTAAGGCGCGCTGAACTGTATGGGAAAACATAATCGGCACCCTCCAGACGGGGTTTTGGCGCCCCCTCTGGTGCTGCGCCCCTATGCGTTGCATGCGCTGCATAGCCACTTTTTGCGCCTCTGTTCTGTCAGGTCCGCTCCACTGAAGCTTCTCCTCATTCACTCGAGCAAGTTAGCTGAAGGTGGGAAATAAATTTTATTTTTCCTGTTTTTTCAGGTATTGACCATTGACATGGCATGAACCGAGCCAGTTGGTGAACTCTTGGTGATCATCCTCCACAAGGAACACCATGAGTGGTTCTCAAACGGCTCCTGCTAAGGTGGAGGTGAAATCTCCAGAGGGAAAAATCTACCAGTTCCCCATTTACAAACGGATCACTGACTGCAGGGACCATTGTGTTCAAGAAGGATCAGGTTGGTTCTTGCAGAGCAGAGAAAGATACACTGATGATGAGAGGAGGAAAGAAATCCAACAAACTTTACTGAAGAATATTCTCCTTCCTCAGCAAAGCTTCTCAGTCAAGCAACACATGAAATCACCAAATTATGTCGGACAGAAGATCTGAAAGGCCAGGAGGCGCTCTACAGGTAAGAACCATCCGTGGTTTATAATCCTTCTGAAAGTGGAAACTTTTCCAGAATGGCAGATTTTACGTCACCATAATGTTCATTCTTCAAACATGGAGTTGATTTCTGCTTTGCCACTGGTTCCTTCTCTGTTTCTGTCAGCTGGGACCAGTTTAAAGATGGTATGACTCATGTTGAGGCTGATGCATTTCACTCATGGCAGATTCAGGCAGCATGGAGGTCTATGCTAAAACATGAAATCTTTTCCAGATTATGTCTGTGAGCACTGGAAGGAGGACTCTTTCTTTGGGTATCAGTTTCTGAACGGAGTAAACCCGATGATGATCCGTTGCTGCAAAACTCTGCCTGGCAACTTTCCTGTCACTGACGAGATGGTCTTCAAGGACAGGAATCAGAATCTGACCGAGGAGGTAGAGGTGGTTAAGATGGTAATCCATGTTTTCAGATTGTTAATCATCCTGCTAATGTGGAAATTTAGATTTCCAAATAGAAAGGCAACATCTTCCTGTGTGACTACAAGATCTTGGATGAGTGAAACCAAACAATATTAATGGGAAGCAGCAATACCTGGTGGCTCCTCTTGTTCTACCTGGTGGCTCCTCTTGTTCTACCTGGTGGCTCCTCTTGTTCTGCTGCACAAAACTCCTGATAGAAAATTGATGCCAATTGCAATTCAGGTCAGACAATCATCCAAACCTAGTCACTGGTGATGGACTGGACTGGGGCAGCAGGAGGCCACAGTCATATCATCCATTCATTCTCTGTCACTCTTACCCCTGTGGGGTCACCAGGGCTACTGGTGCTGATCTCCAGAGGTCAACAGGTGAGAGGTGGGGTCACCTCGACAGATTGCCAGTCCATCGCAGGACAACAGCCATATCATATGTGCCTAAATTTAGACAAATATAAATTTTTAGGTTTTGGGTTAGATCATCAGAGCAGAAAAATAATTATAATTGTGACCAGAACCTGTCTTGATATGCTTTAACACAGCGCCCTCTACAGGCCTCCCCATTAAACGTCACAGACTTTTGACCTGAATAATGACTGAGAGCAGACTGAACGTTCGTCTGATTCCAACAGGAGCATCTTGGGAACTTCCTCCTGAAAACAATAAAGGAATCCCAGACCAACTTAAAGTCTGAAAATCTCCAAGAGAACAAAAAGCTTCAACATCTGCCTTATCCATACCTGGACCCGAAGGAGGTGGAGAACGGCGTGAGCCTTAGGCCCAACCCTCCCTGGTTCTGGTCGAGTTCTGCCTGAACAGAATCGCATGGCGAAAGTTCAAGTGATTCTGGTTGGTGGAGGGAAAATACCTTAGAAACTTTAATGAATGTCATGACGTCCCTGTTTCTGAGCAGAAAACAGAACCAGCAGGAATTTAGTTTGACCTTTGAAGCTGTTTGAAAAAATGACAATAAACATTGTTTTTATTTCATTGCAGTGATTTTAGAATCTTTTCATGCATGAACTAAGTCACAACTTGATTAATGGTGAATAATCTTATAGTTATTATTCAGATTTCTTTGAATAAAATATTACGTTGGACCTGATGAAGTAATAAACTGATTTTAAACGGTTTCATCAGGTTTCGGGTCATAAATCATCTCCAACCTCAGGAGTCAAACTGGAACACATTTAATTTAAACTGGTAAGCCCTACTGGGACACCAGCTAACCCTTTCTCCAGCCAATCAGATCTTACAAAGTCAGATCGCCGCCTCTGAACGCACCGCGGCCCCAGGTTTCACCACCATGAGCTTAAAGGGCCGGCGTTATAAAAATCTACTTTAAGCTTTAAATCAGAAACAAACCTGCAGCATTGCTCCGATTCGGACAGGAGGAGACAGGAGGAGACAGGAGGGGACAGGAGGAGACAAGAGGGGACAGGAGGAGACAGGAGGGGACAGAAGGAGACAGAAGGAGACAGGAGGAGACAGGAGGAGACAGGAGGGGACAGGAGGAGACAGGAGGGGACAGGAGGAGACAAGAGGGGACAGGAGGGGACAGAAGGAGACAGGAGGAGACAGGAGTGGACAGGAGGAGACGGACAGGAGGAGACAGGAGGAGACGGGAGGGGACAGGAGGAGACGGGAGTGGACAGAAGGAGACAGGAGTGGACAGGAGGAGACGGACAGGAGGGGACAGGAGGAGATAGTAGTGGACAGAAGGAGACAGGAGTGGACAGGAGGAGACTTCCTCCCTCTGGGACTGACGTGTCACCAGTCTGGACGGTCCCGTCCTCTTCCCGTCTCGGTTCACTTCTGTTTATCTGAACTCGTATTTGTGTCTCTGTGATCCTCTGAATGTTTTCGTTTACCTGAAGTCCAAAATGTTCCTCAGTGAGTCGCCATGAAATCAGAAACATTTTTTATTAGGAAATTATTTTTCAAAAACAAAAACATTTACAAGCAGCAACTTCAAACATGTTTTAGTGCAACATTGTAACCATTGCCCCCTGAACGCACCGCGGCCCCCTGAACGCTGTAGATGTAGATGGGTCAGCTTGCATGGACTGGTTCTGTAGAACCGGGTCTGGTTTGGCACTGGATTCCTGATTGGCCAAAGCTGCAGAGTTGCCAGCCAGCAGGAGAAACGAGACGGGGTCAGAACCGGTTCTGGTTCTGGTTCCAGTCCGGAACAGAGCAGAACCGGCTCAGAGGTGAAACACTGACGCCTGGTGGCCGCTTAGGGAACAGCAGCTCCGGTCAGGACTCTCCTCCTCCTTCCTCTCTCCTGGATTTGTTTCAGCAGCTCCTCCTCCTCCTCCTCCTCCTGATTGGTCGGACAGGTTGGCTTCTTCCTGCTGATTGGCTGCACAGTGGCCAGCAGCGCTGGCAGTGTGAACAGGGACAGGAAGCGGGCCTTCAGCAGCTGGTGGGCGGGGTTTGTGGAGAAGCGCTGCGCCACCAGCTGGCGGACGGCCTGCAGCTCCTCCTGCTGCTCTGCAAAGAGAAACCAGGGGCCTAAACATACAAAGTGTCAAAGTTTCTGTAAAGAAATGCAAACTTTTGACCTGGAGTGAAAACATTTAAACGATGTTTAAATGATGAAACGATCCTCAGACATTAACCTCACACCGGTACCGGTACCGCTGGGCTCCTGCTCTAAGTTCTGCTCAGAGCTCCAGGATGAATCTAAACGCTGATCAACCATCAGATTGATCTGATCTGTGATCAACCCTCCTCTGAATCCCTCTCCATCAGAGCCAAAGCTCCTCAGGTAGCGGTCGTTTGGTTCTGATCGTCTCCTGATCAGAACCAAACCTTCTGCTGATCAGCCTGTTTTCTCTGCAGTCAGAATGAAATGATCAAACGATGAGTTACATCTTCATGAGACAAACTGAGGAAGTTATTATTTACGTCAGAGTGAAGTTTTACCTTCCTTTAGTTTTATCCATCCATGTTCTAACAGGAGGAACACACACACACACACACACACACACACACTTTAGATTTATTGTTTATTGGACTGTGGGAGGTCCCACCCCACCCTGCAGAAAGGCCAGAGCCGGGAATCGAACCCAGAACCTTCTGGCTCTACCAACTGTGCAGCCCTTCCTTTTTCTTTATTTTCTTTATCTTGTGTGTGTTCGGTTAATGTCTGAGGATAAATGTTGTTCAGTTTCATCCTTTAAACAATAAAATCATAAAATCATCGGGTTTGATGCTTCCTGGTCTAAATACCTGTACCAGGTGTGAAGCGGGTCGAGGGCTCGCCTGAGGCGCAGTAGGCGTGGTCAGGGAGGGGGCGGCCGTCTGCTGCCGCCATCAGCTGTAGAGCCGACGCCGTCACAGACGCCTTCGCCCGCAGGAGGCCACTGAGCGCGCTCAGAGTGCTGACAGATGGCGGCAGGTAGGGGAGGGCGCTCCCCGCTCTGGGTACGGCCACGCCCCCTCTCCCTCTCAGCCAATCATGAACCTCCTCCAGGGGCTCCAGGAACATCAGGGTGGGGTCAAAGTGCTGGCCCGCCCTCCGGAGGGGGGGGCCGGTCGGGCCCACCGTCTGCCACCCCGCCGCTCCCTGATAGGTCAGCAGCATGTGGGGGCGGGGCCAGCTGGTCGGCCTCAGATCAGGTGACTGGGTGACGGCCGGGAGGAGGGGCTTAAATCTACAGGTGGGAACAGGTGAGAGCTGGAGGTCACAAAGGGCAGCTGGGGTCACCGAGGAGCATCCTGCCGCCAGAGGGGGCGGGGCTTCAGACGCTAGGGGAGGGCCTCTGGGTAAGAGCCCCACCTGCAGGGCTGGGGGCGGAGCCTGAGCCACAGGGGTCACGACCCACATGGACCGGTTAGGGAGGAAATGGAGAGCAGTGACCTGTGAGGGGGGCGGAGCCTCCACGGCGCTGCTTCCCTTTGACTGGGCCCTGCCAACATGTTTCTGCTTTGAAGGGGCGGAGCTTCTCTTCTTCTTTGTAGCCTGGAAACAGAACCAGAAGAGCCTGAGGTCCGGACCAACCAGAACAGGTGTTCTGTTTATCTGTGCTACCCGTAAACCCGTCCTACCTTGTGGTGATGCCACGTCACATTCTGCTGACTCAGCAGATTCATTATAAATACGGCCTACCTGTGGAAGTTTCCGTTCATGCGTTTTATTTCAGCGCAGATTACGGTAAGTTTTATCTAATTTATCTTATTCCTGGCTTTCCTTAAGCTGCTGTATCACTTCATGGTTTTAGTTTACATGACAGCAGCTTGTAAATATATTTATAAATGGGTCAGTTTGTCGTCTGCAATGTCGTTACTGTAAACAAGTCATTGTTTTGATGCTTAATCAGGACAAAATACGTTGTTTTGTGGGCTTTTTTGTCCCTATATTTTAAAATTTTTAGTTTAATTACACTGCGACAGACTGGTGACCTGATGGGTCACCTGGTCTAAATACCTGATGGGTCACCTGGCGGTACGTTGGCTGGAGAGGCAGCAGCACGTTGTGTTTAATTACACTCTTTATGACTAAAACTGGCCAAATAGATGTTGGTAGTGATTCTGACTGAAGCTGTAATATTAGTGTACATGAATCGTATCCCACCATTCCAGTGACCTGCGCAGTTCGGTGACACATAGCAGCTGCATTTAACAACGTCTGTCATAAAACGGATTAATGTGCAAAAAGAGAGTTGTGCTGATCTGTATTTGTCTTTAATTCCAATAAAAAACAGTTTCTGATACTGCAGCGATATTCTAGTAACAGGATTAGTGCATACTTTTCATTTAGACGGGTAGGATATTCAGATGAAGGAAGTGGTTTCATCATGTATTTTCATTGTTCCGATGCTAAGCTAAGCTTAACCCCTAAGCTTCCACTTCAGTCGCTCAGATAAAGTTATCCAATGTATTAACATGAACAACCTGATGTAGTTTCTGTTTGTAAACATGACGGTAGCAGTTTTGGACGGGCAGCACGGATAGATAGACCTAGCTATCTATCCATGCTGCGGTAGGAAAATCTGACGAGGTAGCACAGATAGTCAGAACACCTGAACGGTAAAGGGTAAGTTTGAACCAGAACCGGGTTCTGTTGGTTCTCCCGGTCCAAGACTCTGAGGTCACCTGCCTCACCTGGAGCTCCTTGGACTCTCGGATCTTCAGGGTTGGCCTCCTGGCTCTCTTCCCCTCCTGGACCGGCCCCGGACCGGCGCCGCCCGCCTCCACCCGCCCCCTCTTCCTGCCCCCACTCTGACAGACGGAGGTGGGCGGGGCCTGATCGGGGCAAGAAGGTGGAGGAGAGGTCAGAGGTGAGGAAGAGGAGCTAAATGCTGCATGGGGAGCGGCGCCGACAGCAGGACCGTCTGAGTTCTGAGTCCGGTCCGGTTCTGGAGAACCTGCTGAATCCAGGGCTCCAGACTGAAAGCAGAACCATAGAGCAGTCAGACGCTCAGAGTCTACTCCTGATTGGTCCAGAATAACAGGTGGGTAGTTAGCATAAGCTAATGCTAAACGTTACACAAAGCATTCTGCTATGATGCAGAATAGCAGAATAGAGTTCAGTTACTCTCAAGTCAGGAGAGGACACTGAACTCACCCACTTCAAAATAAGAGCATTGATATAAATATAAACTACTAGAGGAAGTACTACGCTACCCAAAACACAAAAATTTACTCAACTGAAACCAAGTAAATCATCACTTTCATGTCTGTCTTGAAAAATGAAATATTGGGAAGCTAACTCTGCTAAATGTTTTCACAGTTAGCAACAGCGCTAAGTAAATTAGCTCTGCTTAGGGCGTTAGCATGTGGGACAACCTGCTGCTGTTAGCAAAACTTTACCTCCAGATTCACTCTGTCCTTCTGCTTTGCTGCTTCGTCACCTGTGCACTCCACACCTGCATTAGCCCCGCCCACATCACTACGAGACCCAGCTGCACCCTCACTGGCTCCGCCCACATCCTTCAGCTCTGCTGGAGCAGGTGGAGCTCCAGAAGGAGCAAAGTAGATGGAGGAAGCAGGAACGACGAGACTACGAGGAAACCCCTGAGGACATCTGCCAGAAGGGTGCTGGGGCGGAGCCTGCATGGTGGGGGGAGCCTGCATGGTGGGCGGAGCCTGCATGGTGGGCGGAGCCTGCATGCGTTTCTCCTGTAGCTGCTGCAGCATGACTCTGTGCTGGTCCTCCTCCTCCTCTTGGTTCCTCCTCTTCCTGTTGGCGAGGAGCTCTGAGACCCGTTTGGGCCCCCGGGTGTGGGGCGGGGCCTGCAGGTCCACCTGGTTCTTCCTCTGCTCGATCATCTGCCGGCAGCCCAGCGTGTCTACGTTCATGGCCTGGAGAAGCAGTGTGAAGGCAGAGGAGGTGGAGACGCCTCTCCTCTCTCCTCCCTCCCTCAGCACATCTGCGGCGCTCCGTTTCTGGCTCTTTGGGATCAGCAGGTTCCCGATCCACGGCGTGACGGCGGCCTGCAGCTCGCATCTCAGCTCTTGGGCCTGCGGGCGTGGCCGCCGCCCTGGCTGGGGGCCGGTGCTGACCTTCTGCTTCAGGGCGCTCAGGTGGAGACGCAGCGCTTCCCGGGACGCCATCAGCACGGCGGAGGAGCTGTGGCGCTCCTCCCAGGACAGCTCTCTGGGCGGAGGCCCGATGATGACGGAGGGTCCAGGCCGTCCCAGCACGGTGGAGCGGACCGCGGTTCGGTCCGGCGCCTCGCCGGAGGAAGGGAGCTCCACCAGCGTGAAGCTCAGGGAGGTGGAGCTTTGGTTCACCTCAGCTGGAACCCACTCCTCCATTGGAGGCAGGATGTACTCCTCCTGCTGCTCCTCCTCCATGCTCCTCTTCCTCTTCTTATTACAGTCTTCATCACTGTCCATGTACTGCACCACCTCATCCTCATTGTCGTCATCCTCCTCTTCAGTTATCTGCACCTCCTCTTCCTCCTTCATCTTCAATATTCCCCTAACATTGAAACCTCCAGCATCCCGTCTTCTTCTTCCTCTTCCTCGTCCTGCTCTTCCTCTTCCTCCTTCTCTTCCTCCTGTCTTGCAGGTCTTCTTGATTTTCCTTCTGTCCTGTGAGAGAAACAGACGATCAGCTGGGTTCTCAGAACGGCTTCTGCTTTCAGGAACTCTGATTTCCCATCAGTTCCTAAACACAGCAGCTGATGAACCTACGCTGCCGACAGTCCCCGACCCCTCAGTGACCCCCGACAGTCCCCGACCCCTCAGTGACCCCTGATTTACCTGAGCAGGTTCTCGCACCAGCTTCCTCCACTCTCTCAAACACTGAGCATCAATCCGATGCGGGATCTCTGCAGCGATCTTGGCCCAGCGACCTGAAACACAGACGCTCAGTTCAGAACCAATCAGCAGGTGATTCATCATCATCATCATCATCAGAACCTCACCAACTCCATGTTTCTTCACCAGCTGCTCCAGCAGCTCCACCTCATGTCTCTCAAACGGTCCTTTCTTTATGTTCTTCTTCAGACAGTCCAGATACCTATGGACAGATGGACAGATGGACAGATGGACAGGGTTCACTGAGGCAAACCCAGAAACACTGCCTCCTGCTGGTCCTCACCTGTCTCTGCAGGCTCCATCAGTGCGTCCAGGAACTTCCAACCGGACCTTCCACCAACACTTCTCCCCGTGACGAGCCACGGCCTGCAGCAGGAGCTGGACGGACAGACAGGTGGACGGACAGATCAGTCTGAGACCAGGCTGAGCGCTCCAGAACCAGCGTGGGTCCATTTGGGTGGGAACCGTACCCGGTCCTCCTGCTTGGTCCACGAGCCTCTCTTCAGGCTCGGGTCCAGAACCTGGTTCCATCTGTAGACGAGCTGAGTCGGATCACGACCCTCCATGAAGTAACTGACTGGAAGCAGAGAAGAAGAGTCCATCAGAGACGGGAGTGATGTCACAGCGTGACGTCAGCATGATGTCATTACTCTGCGTGTACGGGATGAAGTTCCCGATCCTCATCTTCTGGACCAGCTCTCTCAGCTGCTCGTCTTCCTCTGCCGTCCAGCTGCTGCGTTTCAGAGAGTCGGAGACGAAACGCTGGAACATCTGGAGACACATGAAGGCCGTCCTCCCCGTCTGAGGGACAGAGAGACAAAGAGAGACGGGTCAGAGACAGACGGGTCAGAGAGACGCCAGCTGCCCCATTCCCTCCCTCACCCCCAGCTCCTGGGCGATCGAGTCCCAGTGTCTTTCCTCGTGTCTCCTGCAGATGGCGCTCAGCCTCTGGACCTCCTCACTGCTCCAGGCCGTCTTGTTGATGGACGGATGGAGGACGTTCTGCCAGAAGAGACGGATGTCCTCCGCGTCCTTCGTCCCTTCAAACTGAGGAAGAGGAGCACGGCTGATCCATCGATCAATAGATCCATTGATCAATAGATCCATCGATCCATTAGGTTATTTACTGACGTCGATGTTGGAGATCTTCTGCCAGTCGTGTTCTTCGTAGCGATCACCAATAAGCTCCTCCTCTCTCTTCATCCTGACCAATCAGAACACAGAACCAGATCCATCAGGCTGTCAGCCCAACAGGTCCTGGACCAGGTCCAGGTCCAGGTCCTGGACCAGGTCCAGGTCCAGGTCCAGGTCCCGTCTGACCTCAGCAGCTGCAGGTCTTTCTCCAGGTCGTCGATCTGCTCAGTCAGCTGCTGTCTGTCGGCTCCGTGAGCCGAGGAAAGCTTCGAGGTCAGGAAGTCCAGCCTGGAGGGACAAGAGACACGTTAGGACACGTCGGGACACGTCCCCCCCCGAGCAGCAGGTTGGGTTCTGGTACCTGGACAGTTTGGGCAGCATCAGTCTCTTCAGGTGATCTCTTGTCACCGAGTGGACCAGCAGCGTCTTCTGCCAGCTCTCCCCTGAACACAGAGAACCGGGTCAGAACAGAACCTGCTGATGGACCGGGTCACAACAGAACTTACATCTTTTCAATTTCAGCTTCTTGTCTTCTGGACATCCCATCATCCTCTGAGCCTTCAGCTTCACCTCCTGATTGGCTGGAGGGCCCTGGACAGAAACAACGCAGCGTCCCATTGGTCCGTTTCTCTGCGTGTGTGTTTCCGTTTTTTTGCGTGTGTGTGTTTGTGTCTGTGTGTTTCTGTGTGTGTGCGGTACCAGTCCCGTCAGACGGTCCTTGAAGTACGGTTTCAGGAAGCTGCCCAGGAACAGCTTAGCTGGATGCTGATTGGACGAGGCAGGACCTTCTCTGGTGGGCTCTCTGATTGGTCCGTTCATCTGGGCTGTGAGCTCCCTCTGCAGGTAGAAACATTGCACTACAGTTCGGATCGGTTCTGGATTTGCATCCAGAGCCACACAGGGTCAGAACAAGGCCTGAACTGGGTCAGAACCGGGTCCTCACCTGCTGCCTGCGGTTGTGGGCCAGCAGCGCCTCCAGCTGGTCCAGCGTCTCCTGGACCACCTGCTGGTAGACCAAGTTGAGCTGGAGACACGAGGACGCACTCGGAGACAGGTCCGGCTCACTCTGGGGACACAAACGCCAAGAAGACACTCACACCCACAGCGACACATGCGACCTCTGACCCCAAACGGTACCGACCCTGTCACTGCAGTCGCTGCTGTCCTCGCTGGACATGTCGAGGGACGAACTGCGGGGACCCAACATGTCCTCCAGGTTTTGGATCTCTGACTGGATCTTCTGCTTCTGGGCCAACAGGTCAGCTGGGATCTGAACACACACACACACAGGTCTGTTAGTGGTTCTGTGGGGAATCGGACCAACTGATTTACCAGGTCCTCTGTCTCACCTGTCCTTCCTGTCCCTCCTCATCCTGACTTTCTGATCCATCGTCTGAGGACAGAGACATACAGTGAGACGTCCCAGTTCCTGATTCCACCCGGAACCATCGACCCAAACGCCCTCAGACAGCATCATGACACGATCTGAAGTTCTGCTGGATTGAAGAACCTGGCCAGAAACATCTCCAAGGTTCTGGACCTCCAGAACCAGAGGTGTGATTCTACACAGGTTAAAATAATCTGGTTCTTCCTGCCCCACCGGGTCAGCAGAACTTCAACAAACCATGTTCAGTGAATGTTAGCTCGCCTTGTTAGCCTCAGCTAGCATCACTGGTGACTTTAAATCCTGACATATTTCCTTCAGCTGGGCTGAAATCATGATTACCACAATAAAAGTCCAACAGGAAGTCATGATTACCACAATAAAAGTCCAACAGGAAGTCATGATTACCACAATAAAAGCCATGGGTTTGTCTTTCAGAGTCATAATGTGGAAATTGCTGGAGCTAGCCCCCTTTCAGAAGCTTCACTTTCCAGCCTGTAATTGTGACTTTTATTCTCTACGACTTCCTGTTAGGCTTTTATTGTGGTAATCACGACTTCCTGTTGGGCTTTCACTGGCCATGTTTCTGTCGCGCTAGCTGAGGCTAACAAGGCGAGCTAACATTCACTGAACATGGTTTGTTGAAGTTCTGCTGACCCGGTGGGGCAGGAAGAACCAGATTATTTTAATATGCAACATGCAGCTGCCAGTTCTCATGGTTCCGAGTCAGTTCTATAAAAAACAGATCTGGGTCGGCTTCACCAACTCAGCCGGGTTAGATTAAACCGGTTCAGATGAACCTGGTTCCTCTGGTTCAGGTCGGTCCAGTCGGGATGGCCACTCGGTGCTGAATGTGTGAACTGAACTCAAAATTCCAGTTGGACTAAAAGTTGCAGCAGTTTCTGGTTCTGGTCGTAAAGTTCTGCCTGTAACTCAGAAATCAGCCCGTCCAGGACCTGATTCTCATCATTTATCTGGTTCTGATTGTTCAGCTGTTGAGATCGGATTTAATACCGGGCCTGGAACCGGATCTGGAAGGTACCTGTCTCACTGCTCAGCAGGTCCAGCTCGTCCTGGGTCACAGCCAGGCTGCGCTCCAGCTCCTCCACCTGTTTCTGGACCCGGTCCCTCTGGGCCGACAGGGACATGTCTGCAGAACAGAGACAGACAGGAGGACAGGGACAGGTGAGGACAGAGTAGCGGTGTCTGGGCGCCCTCCTGTGGTCCTGGTTCTGGTTCTGGTTCTGCAGGAGGAGAGGTCCAACATCCAGAACCATGTCAGAATCTTGGTTCTGGTCCGGTGGACCCGTGCGGACCCGTTCTGTTAGTTCTGGATCTGTTAGTGTCTGATCCATTTCATCCTTTCAGAACCACATTAATGCGACTTCCTCGTTCATGATGAACTGGACCTGTAGTGGCTCGATTCTGTCCTGGTTCTGGCTCGGCCCGGTTGAACTTAAGCAGGAACTGAACCAAACCTGGTTCGGAATCGGTTGGTGATACCAACAGAATCAGCAGGACCTACAGTTGTGGATCCGGCCGGTTCTGTTGGTTCTTCAGTCTAAAGTCCATCAGAACCATTTCAGAACTGAAGCAGTGCGACAAACAGAACCTGGTTCTGGACCTGTTTCTGAACCTGCCTGGAGCAGTCCAAATGGACCTCAGGTACTTTATGGTTCTGCTGGCTCTAGCTTTATCTGAACGGAGGGTTTGTTCTGACCCGAACGGATCAGAACCTGCTAGAACCCGTCAGTGTCCGTGTTCCGATGAAGGGGTAGGAGGATCATCTTCTTTCCGAACTTACCTGGTTCTGATGGTTCCGGTCTGAGCCCTCCTTCTTGCCGTTGTTCTGAACAGGACCTTCAGGTTCTACGGGAGCGGATGCAGAACCGGGCCGGGTCGAACCTGCCGCCGCTCACCTGGACCAGCTGTCTCCACCAATCACCGCCTGCTGCGCTGTTAGCATTTTACCCATCAGGCTGTGCGGCAGAAGCAACGATGTGTCAACGTTTCGTGGTTCGGACTCGGTTCTGATTCATCGGTTCCGCCAGCAGTGGGCCCGCGGGGTCAGGGTCCGGTACAGCGCAGCGCTACTGTCAGAAACTTTGGAACCAGAAACGAAACCGTCTGTGAGAATTACTTCCTGTTACTACTTATATTTTCAAACTTTATTAGCAACATCATGACAAACACAGCACTTCCGTGTCTCTAATAAGCGGAAATACGTCAGAATCGCGATTAATCGCTATTAAAACGCCATTTAATTTTATCAGTGTGAAATACTCGCCGCAGCATGTCAGATATTCACTTCAAAATAACAGCAGTAAATTCTTCTTCTTCTTCTTCTTCTTCTGCTTCTGCTTCTTGGTTTTCATTGGCGGTTGGCAATAAACTTTCAGTAGCATTACCGCCACCTACTGGTATGGAGTGTGGTTCGTGATGATCTATATACGTTTACTTCATACCTAATCCCTACAATAATTTCTGACTAAACATACACTCACACATACACACCTACTTACTTACATATAGCTTTATATACCACTCTTCGTTATTCTTTACACATTCACCACCATCTTACTCTATTCAGATTCTATGAAATAACTTTGTTTTTTTAAGAAACCGAATAATTATTTGAACATGTCTACTCCCCAAATCCCTCCTCAAAAAGTCTGATAAATTAAACCTTTCTTTAATACCTTCACACTCTCTCAACATGCATCTTCTTTCTTCTTCATATTTATAACACTCTAAAATAACATGCTCTATTGTTTCAAACTACTCACAATATTCACACTTTCCAGTTTTATGCTTCTGTATTTTAAAAAGTGAATAATTAAGCCCTGTATGACCGAACCTTAACCTTGTTATTATTCTTTCCTCCTTCCTGTTTCTTCTTCCCTATTCCTTCCTACAAACTTCTGAATTTTATGAAACCATCTTCCTGTTAAACCTTCATCCCACCTTCTCATCAGCTCCTCTTTGACTTTACTTTTCCCTTCAGATTTACTTGTCCTAACTGTAAAACTAATAGGATTATGTTTTGCCTTCTTTGCCATTTTATCAGCCCACTCGTTTCCTTCTACCCCTATATGTGCTGGAACCCATACAAAAACAACTATTAACCCCATATTTTGTATTCTAAATAGAGTATGATATATTTCTAATAAGATGTCCATCCTACTATCCGTATTAATATGTTTTATGCTTAAAGCAGAGCTTGAATCTGAGCAAATTATTGTTTGCAGTGGTTTTACGTCTTCTATCCATTGTAATGCCAATAGTATTGCTAACATTTCTCCTGTATAAATTGATAACCCATCCATAATTTGCTTCCCTATTTTCAAATTGAATTCTGGGATTGCAAATGCTATTCCCATTTTTCCAGCTATTTTTGATACATCTGTATAAATTTGGAGATGTCGATAATAATGATTTAAATGTGATTGCACTGAATATCTATCTACAACATTTGATTTGTCGGTAACACTTTATTTGAAGGGGGTGAATAAGACTGTCATGACACTGTCATAAACATGTCATAACACCTGTCATGAACATGAATAAGCCTTCATGAATATGTTTAAACTTTACCTTTAATAACATAAAG